GGCGGGTAGCAGACTTTAATAGCTGCAGAGAGCACAAGGAGGGCTGAAAGGGAATAATGGTTAATATCTTGTAGCACTGAATCCAAATCCAGCTGTGAGGATGTGGAGGGCCTCCAAACCTTCCTAATTGGGCCTCTAACCCAATTTTGGACAGGTACCCCTGTCCTTTACCGTATAAAAATATTTTCCAATTGGTGCTGCACAGTCTATTTCCTTTGGATTGGCGGGGGTGGGGGTGGGGGTGGGGGGGGGAGCAGGTGGAGGTCTCACCTCGTTAAGGTCCTGGTGGTGGAGATGTAATGGGAAAATGTTACAAGAAAAGGGGTCTCATCCCAAAACCCAAGAGCAGGTTCTCAGATCTTACAGGGAAATAATTCAGGGAAAGTCACCCAGTATAGTAAAATTTAAATGGTTTGTTATAAACCACTCTATTATAGAGTAGGGCATGCTCAGAAAGCAAGAGGAGGAACACCCCTACCTTGATGCTTGCTTATATAGGATATTAGAGCTAAGAATAGTGTACTTTATTACAAAGTCTTGTGATCAGCTTGTGACAGGATATTAGTATTGATAGTCTCTCGTGTAACTATGGATTTCAGCAAGAGTTAATGGGTATATTATTAATAGTATCATTACAGTAAAACCCACGTTTAAACTAAGAATGCCTTTTTCTGTTAACTCGTTTCCTCAGCCCTACACATCTTGTGATGAAGAGTGCCTGACTTCCTGGGAAAGTCACCCTGCAGGTTTCGCTTTATCTGGCCTTTATTCAAGATGGAGTCACTCTGGTTAGGACACCTGTGACAGAGTAAGTTTAAATGATAATGGAACAAGGCTGGCTAAAGCCAGGAGGCTACTGCAATAATCTGGGTGGGAGATGATGGTTGCTTGGACCAGGGTGATGCCTGGGGAGGTGGTGAGAGGTGGCTGACTATGGATGTGTTTTGAAGATGTGGCTGATAGAATTTGCTGACAGATGAGACTTGGGATGTGAGAAACAGAGAGGAGTCAAGGGTGACTTCACAGTTGTGGGCCTGAGCAACTGGAAAGATGGTATTGCCATTTATTGATACAGGAGCAGATATTGGAGGAGAAGATCAAGATCAATTGGGGGCTTGTTCATTTAGTGGCGTGTGTTAGACATCTAACTGAATGTATCAAATTGGCAATTAAATATACAAGTCCAGAATGAGGGGAGAGTTCTGGGCTGGAGATAGACATTTTGGAATTCACTGGCATAGGTGCTGTATGTAAAGCCACAGGAATGTATGAGATTGCCAAGGGAAGCGCATGTGGACAGGGAGGACTGAGCTCGTAACATTTGGTGGTTGGGAGAACAGGCAAAGGAGACCAGAGAAGGGCTGGCTGTGTGCCAGGTATTGGTTTCAGCACTTTGATGTTTCTAAGCTCATTTAATCCTCACTTTAACTCTGTGACATAATTGTTACTATGTCAGGGAACCTTAAGTACCTCACCTAGCTCTCACAGTAGGTGACAGAGCCAAGTCAAGCACAGGTTATGTGTCCTACAGCCTGCCCCTACCCACCAGACTATCCTTTCCCCCAGCAACTATACCAAATGTTTATACTTTTACTTATTTAACAGGATGGGGCTGGGTGTAGTGGCTCACTCCTGTAATCCCAGCACTTTGGGAGGCTGAGGCGGTCGGATCACCTGAGGTTGGGAGTTCGAGACCAGCATGACCAACACGGAGAAACCCTGTCTCTACTAAAATTATAAAATTAGCCAGATGTGGCGGCACATGCCTGTAATCCCAATTACTTGAGAGGCTGAGGCAGGAGAATCACTTGAACCCGGGAGGCAGAGGTTGCGGTGAGCCGACATCACGCCATTGCACTCCAGCCTGGACAACAACAACAAAACTCTGTCTCAAAAAGACAAAAAACAGAAAGACAGAATGTGCTTCTAGTGCAGAGTGACCTAAACCGGATCTGTGTCCACTAACTTTACTCTGAATCTCAATTTCCACATTAGTAACATGCCAGCCTACCTCTTTCATAGGATTGTGTTAAAACTAACGACGGTAGTGGACTTGTAAAGCTCGAAGTGCAGTATCTATGTTACACTGTGTCACAAGATCTCTGGGATGTAGGAGGCCCTTGAAAATCCCGAATAGAATATCATCCCCTTCCTGATGCATGTCACTATGACATCCCTATCATACCTCATGCTGCTTCTCTGGTTGGGACCTTTCTCTTTCTACAGTTCTGTTTGTTAGGAACATCTTTAAGCCAAAAGATCCTTGTAATTTCTACTGATCACATACAGATCCCCACTCCCTGAGATGCTAAGGATGAGTCTACACATGAATAGCATGCTCTTAGGCTCTTGGATTTCTCCAGGCACCCCTGTGTTTGTCATTTTCTACTTGAAGCCAGACATATTTTTCCAAAGCACTTGGAATCAGTTAGTCACCTGCAAGAAAAGTGGAAAGTATTCTTTTCTTTTTCCCCCGAGACCGAGTTTCACTCTTGTTACCCAGGCTGGAATGCAATGGCGTGATCTCGGCTCACTGCAACCGCTGCCTCCTGGGTTCAGGCAATTCTCCTGCCTCAGCCTCCTGAGTAACTGAGATTACAGGCACGTGCCACCATGCCCAGCTAATTTTTTGTATTTTTAGTAAAGACGGGGTTTCACCATGTTGACCAGGATGGTCTTGATCTCTTGGCCTCGTGATCCACCTGTCTCGGTCTCCCAAAGTGCTGAGATTACAGGCTTGAGCCACCGCGCCTGGCCAAAAGTATTCTTTTATTTATTTTTATTTTGAGATAAAGTCTCACTCTGTTACCTGGGCTGGAGTGCAGTGGCACAATCTCCGCTGCCTACAACCTCTGCCTCCCGTGTTCAAACAATTCCCCTGCCTCAGCCTCTTGAGTAACTGGGATTACAGGCACCTGCCACTATGCTCAGCTAATTTTTTTGTATTTTTAATAGAGATGGGGGGGTGTCACCGTATTGATCAGGATGGTCTCGAACTCCCGACCTTGTGATTCACCCGTCTCCGCCTCCCAAAGTGCTGGGATTACAGGCGTGAGCCACTGCACCCTTTTCTTTCTTTCTAAATTTAATTTTAAGTTCCAGGATACATGTGCAGAAAATGTGCAGGTTTGTTACATAGGTAAAGGTGTGTCATGGTGGTTTGCTGCATCTATCAACCCATCACCTGTTTATACTGTCTCTCCACACTAGCATGAAAGACCCACAAGGCCGGGCGCGGTGGCTCAAGCCTGTAATCCCAGCACTTTGGGAGGCTGAGGCGGGTGGATCACGAGGTCAAGAGATCGAGACCATCCTGGTCAACATGGTGAAACCCCGTCTCTACTAAAGATACAAAAAATTAGCTGGGCATGGTGGCGCATGCCTGTAGTCCCAGCTACTCGGGAGGCTGAGGCAGGAGAATTGCCTGAACCCAGGAGGCGGAGGTTGCGGTGAGCCGAGATCGGGCCATTGCACTCCAGCCTGGGTAACAAGAGCGAAACTCCGTCTCAAAAAAAAAAAAAAAAGACCCACAAAAGCCAGGACCCAAGGGTACCTTATTCATTTCTGTATCCCAGTACCCAGCACATTATATTTGTTAAGCCATGTTTTATATTTTATTAGCCAGTATCTCCTTCAAAGGTGGGAGCCCATAATTTTCCAGTTTGGTCATACCAACAAAGACTAGAGAACAATGTTAGGGTTGGAATAGAATTCTCTGGTTCCTTCTAGCTCTAATATTCTATGGTCCTGTGAACTTGTTCTATCAAGTACCCTTGTATTAACACAATAAGGAATTGAATTAGTGGTCTGCTGTTGTTGATTTGTTTTGGTAAACAACTGTTAAATGAAATGGCTGGAATCAGTGTTCCATTCATAAATTTAACAAACATTTGTTGAGTAGCTACAATGTGTTAGGCACTATGTATATTGTCCCATATAACAGCTATAAGAGCAGAAGGCCTGGGATAGGGGTGAGTGTTCAGGAGAGATGATGGGTACCTCCCATTGCTAATGCTCCAGGAGGTCCAGGGTTCTTTGAAATGGCTGGCGCTACTCTGCTTATCACTGAGGAGGGAAGAGGCTCCCAGTGGCCTGAGTGGAGGGGTTACCAAGCTGCAGCTGCAAGGACACAGAGCAGCATTCACCAAAGCACAACAAGCAGCCTCTATCTGCTTCACCACTAAGCAGCTGAGGGCCCCCACATAAGAGCTGTTTCAGGCAGTGAGAGGAGAGGAAGGTGTGGTCTTCAGGTCCACCCCGCCACAGTGCCAACACCAGATTTAAGGCCACATTTAGGGCTTGAGGCTTCTCCTGTGGCTGAACAGTGCCTTTGGGCTTTCTCTGCACGATCTTTTCTTTTTGCTTACATAGGCCTTGTCAGGCAGGGCAGGGTTTAGCAGTTGCATTCTAAGGCGAGGAGAGGAGGGCTTAGAGTATTGCAAGACCTAATGGTGAAGGTCAGAGCCGGGACAGGAACCTAGGGGTACTCCTGCCCTTGGAATAATGGAGAGAACATCGGCTCTGTAGTCTACCCCTAGATGAGATAATCTTCACTTGATTACTGCTCCACCCACATCCTTTCTGAAACAAAGTACCTCAGTTTCCTCATTTGTAAAAGAGGAAGAAAAATGTCCTCCTACAGGGTTCCTTGCAGAATCAAGGGCATAATGTGAGTGAGAGCGCTTTATAACATACAAAGCGCTCTCCAGACATTTATTACAGTTCTAAACTGCCAGGCCAAGCTTCCTCTTGCAATTATATATAGTTTAGGGGCTTCTACTCATCTCTTATCTGACTTTGTTCCACTTTCTACTCCTCTTCTCCGTCCCTCCCCATCCAACAAAGAGAGGAAGTGAGAGACGCAGAGGCAAACGTATAAGGACCCGTTTAGCTGGCCCAGGGTCACAGGCAAGCTTTGCCGCCCTTAGGGGTGTGACAGCCGCCTCCACTCAGAACTACATTTCCCAGCAACCCTTTCGCGGCTCCTGGGCGGCAGCGACCAGGCGCATGCGCCCAGTACCGCCACGCCTGGTCTCTGGGACGCCTCTCTGGACCGGTTTCGCCTGGCGGAGCCCGCAGGTCCAGGTGCAGCGGCCGCAGTGCTGCCTCCCTGCGCCGCGGGCAGTGGCGGTCTCAGGTGTGCCGAAGCTCTGGTCAGTGCCATGATCCGGCAGGAGCGCTCCACATCCTACCAGGAGGTAGGAGGTTGTGAGAGACTGAAGGGAAGTTTCCTGTGAGGCGGAGGAGCAGGGTCCCGGGGGTCTGGGCGGAGGCGGGGCGGGGGCGTCGGGGCTGCGCGGCCGAGGGCTCTTCGGAGGGACTGGCGGGTGCATCTGTAGAGGGCTCCGGGGCTGCAGAGGAGCGGCCCAGGAGCAGGAAGGAAGCGAGGGGGCGAAGCGGGCGCCCAGCCTCCTCCGGATGCTGCCGGTTGTTTGGCCGAGGGCCCGAGTAGGGTCCCTGGCGCCGCGACCCGTAAACAGCAGGTGAATGATTAAAGCTACCTCAGGCCCAGCTTTCCGCGCTCCCGGCCGGAGTGGCGGCCGGGTGGCCCCGAGGAACTCGGCGTTCTTTGCAACAAGTGGAGCGCCCGCGCCCTCCTCCTGGCGAGAGCAGATGCGCGGTTGGCGTCGTGGGCATCCTCTCCCTCCAAGCCCAAGACCTCGCGGTCTCCGCGGCTGGTGACAGAATTGATTACCTGTTTTTCGGTGACCGCCTCGCTGTGAAAAAGTGCCTTCATGGCCTTTGCTGGTGCTCGTTCCTCTCCGTCTCTCCCTCCAGTCTAACCTCCTCCTACGACTTTACCACTTTTGCAGTTCTTTGTCTTTTCTCTGCCCTGCGCTGCAGGCTTGGCGTCCAGCGCTTCCTTCAGGGCAACCCTGCCTGCTGACTTCTCCAGCTGTAGTTAGTGAAACTGCTCTCCTCCTCCTCCTCTGGTCGGGCCCCAGAGCTTGGTCATCTTTGGCAACCGTCCTCTTCTGTGCCCCTCCACCGTGCCCCCTCACTGGCCAAGGGCAGGCACCGCTCCTCCTCCAGTTTGTGTCCCTGTGTTTGCTGTAACCTCTGAGTGTGATACTGTGTTACCATCGTTCCCTTCAGTCTCCTGTACTCTCCAGATTTGCCTGGAGGCCCTGCCTTGACCTCGGTGCATTCCTTTTTTCTCAGACCTGACACCGCCCTTGGTCTCCCTAGAACAGTCCAGACTTCTCAGCGAGCTCCCAAAGCTCCGTGCAGCGTAGCAGCCGTGTCTCTCATTACCTTTGCCACCTCCTCACCCACCTAGGTTGTGGGCACAATGGAAACTCAGTTTTCAAATATGCTCCTGCTTCTGTGCATGTGCTCACACCATTTTTTCACCAACCCTCCGCCAAACTTCACTGGGTAAAACGCCCCCATAAGTCAAAGGCTACTTGAAGCTCCATGTGCTCCGTGGGGGTTGACTTTCCAGACTGGTGTGGCGTTCTGTTTGTCCCTCTCATACGAACTTGCTGCCTTCTGCCTTAGTCAATAGTTACTGCTGTACATATATATATCCCTTTGTAAAAAGACTGATTCACAGAAGGGCTTTGTGGACTATATAAAGCAGGTGGCTTAGCCCTACAGTGGAGGGGAAAGCCAAGTTGAAGGCAGATGAGATTTGCCTAAGGCCTGCCATTTTTTAGTGTAGGATCTTGGCTGGAATCTGGCCTTGGACAGATTTCTGTATTTCTCCTCCCATCCCCTTTATTCCATCTGTTTTGTCTGAAAGGAGTCTGAGGGCTTTTAACCAATGTTGTGGATTCCATGGCCCCAAGAATCTGCACCCTAAACAGTGGGGGAATCCTGGGGAATGAGATGTGTCTGAAAGTTTTTTGGTTGATAGGCACAGTGGACAAATACTAGGGATTTCAAGTCAGAAAGCCCACATTCCTGTCTTGGCTTTGTCTCTCGCCATTTGTGTGACTTTTATCAAGTCACCTAAGTTTCCAAGCCTCCATTTTTTTGTCTGAAAGATGAAGATTAATAAGAGTCTCTACCTCCTAGGGTTGGTTGGGGATTAGATAAGTTGGTGTGGAAAGTGCTTGGCTCAGTGTCTGGCAGATAGTGACCCCACAGTGAATGAAAGCTCCTGTTAACAGGGTGTGGGCAGCTCCTGCATCTAGGGTGCTTTGGGATCTTAGCTAAGCAGGAACATGAGCCTCACCATCCACATTTAGCCAGCTGTATCTCCTCACCTAGCAGGGCTCATAAAATATTTATTAAAATACAGGCACTTATCCCGCTTGCAGGGCCGAGGCCCAGAGTGGACTCAGTTTCTCTTTGGAGGCATCTCCAAAGTGGAAAGCACTGGAAGGGTCCCTTCCCCTTGCCTTCTTCAGAGGCCTGTTCTATACTGCCTGGGTCTTCCCTCTTCAGAGAAAGGGGCCACCCAGAGAATGTCCAGCATCTTTCTTGCCTGAACCACTCTGTGAGTGTACCTAGCTGTGAGTAGGTTTATTTACTGAGGGGGGGATTTTGCCTTAGGGAGGGTGGGATATACTGAGAATTTGGCCAGGGGCAGGCAAGGAGATAGGCTCATTGGCTGCGGGTAATCAGGGAACTCCCCGGGAGAGTGTTAGCACCTGGATCAGGGTAGAGCTGGGTGAGGCTTGGATTAGGGAACTTTGAAACTTCCTAGAACTAACATCCTCCTCTCCCTTTGGCCAGTGAAACCTCTGGGGACTTCTTTATCTGTGCTCCCACTAGTGGCTTACATCTCTTGGTGCCTTCACCAGCCTCCTTGCCCCTTTCCCACTGGTGGTTTTTTTTTTTTTTTTTTTGAGACGGAGTTTCATTTTTGTCGCCCAGGCTAGAGTGCAGTGGTGCGATATTGTCTCACTGCAACCTCCGTCTCAGGTTCAAGAGATTCTCCTGCCCCATCCTCCCAGGTAGCTGGCACTACAGGTATGTACTACCATGCCTAGCTAATTTTCGTATTTTTTAGTAGAGATGGGGTTTCATTTTGACCAGACTTGTCTCGAATTCCTAATCTCAAGAGATTCGCCCACCTCAGCCTCCCAAAGTGCTCGAATTACAGGCGTGAGCCACCACACCAAGCCCCGCACTCAGCCTTTTCTTTTGTGCTTGGAGGGCTTTAAACTGGAGGTTTTGCCTGATTATAAGGGGCTGGAGTGGAGTCGTGGGGAGGGAGATAGAAAAACAGATGCATAAGAGCTGTTTTTCACTCCTCTCTTGGAGGTGAGTTTTTAATGAAAATGTCTTGAAACCTTAAACACTGATGCTGTGAGCCTGAAAAAATGCTTGGGAAAGCTGTCCCCTCTCCCTTCCAATTCAGGAATGACGTCCCTTCTAAGCTCTAGTCTTGACCTTTCTTGCCCTCCTCCTCCATCCTGCAGAGACTTGTTAATTATCATGGTATCCTTTCCATCCTTCTACCCTTCTCCGTGGTATAATTTCCCCATTTGACAGGTGAGACCACTGGTGAAGTGAGGTTGAGGTTGTGGTTGCCGGCTATCAGGTTGCTGATTATAATTAGCACCTAGCCCTGTGTTGGACTGCCTGCCCCTCCTGCTTTGTTCTGCTGTTTGCAGCCCAAATTGGTGGACTTCGGCCAGAGTGCCAGAGAGAGCTCTGACACCACCTTCACTGTTCCCTATTCTCTTTCAGCAGACTCTAAGCCACATTTCCTCTTCCTTTGGGAAGTGGTTAAGACCATAGGCTTTGGAACCAGACCAACTTGGATTTGACTCCTGGCTGCATCTTTCCCTGGCTTTGTGGTCGTTGAGTTGTGTTTCCTTAAATAAGATATGTTGAAGTCCCAACCCCAGGTACCTCAGATTGTGACCTTGTTTGGAAATGGGGTCATTGCAGGTGTAATTAGTTAAGATGAGGACATATAGGAGTAGGGTGGGCCCCTAATCCAACATGGCTGGTGTCCTTAAAGACGATGACCATGTCAAGACACACAGAGAGAACACCTTGTGAAGATGGCCGCAGAGAGCAGAAATTGGATGCCTCTACAAGCCAATGAACGCCAAGATTGCTGGCTGTCACCAGAAGCCAGGAGAGAGGCATGGAACAGATTCCCTCACCGCTCGCAGGAGGAACCAACCCTGCCAACACCTTGACTTAGATTTCTAGCCTCCAGAGCTGTGAGAGAAGACATTTCTGTTATTTTAAGCTGTTCAGTTTGTGGTACTTGCTACAGTTGTCCTAGGAACATAGCGGGCAGAAAGCTTCTTGAGCTTTCTGAGCTTTGGTGTCCTCATCTGTGAAATTGCTGTAATGCACTCTACATCATGTGGTTTTTGGTGACAATTAAGTGAGAAGCAGCTTCCGCTTTCTTGTTCTAGTCTAGAAAAGCAAGGCTGACATAGTTGACTCAGTTTTGCTCTCTTTACTTCTTTCTTTAGCTAAGTGAGGAGTTGGACCAGGTGGTTGAGAACTCAGAACTGGCAGACGAGCAGGACGAGGAGACAGTCAAAGTCCAAGGTCCAGGTGTCTTACCAGGTGAGTGGGTTTGGTGCTTTGCTGTGCTGTTGCTGCAATTGGACGCCCCAGTCCAGGCACCTTGCCAACTGTGGGAGAGGAGGAGCCCCCTGCCTTGCACCCTGGTGTCAGATCTCAAGAATTGCCCTAGTTTTAAAGCTATACATATTTAACCAGCTTTGGAACAGAGGCTGTGTCTAGGCTGGTGTCTGTTCTTAATTCCAATTTGAGCCAGTTCTTGAGGCCAGGTCATGGTATACAATGGCAAATGCTTGGATCTCGGTTCTTCTGTTCCTCTTTCCCTTGAAGCTGCTAACAGGTGAGCCTCTAATATCCAAGTCAAAGAAGATCTAATAGGCCCCACCTTTCAGATACCAGGTCTATCTAATAATGCTGCTAAGTTGGGTAAGCAGGGTCCTATCATTCACTTGGCATCTCATGGAGCCTTACAGCAATGTTTGACACTGCCGACTACTTCTTCCTCCTGGATACATGCTGCTCTCTTAGCTTCTGTGATGGAGCATTTCTCAGGCCACTCCTTCCAGGCTCCGTTACAGTTACTCTCTCCAGCTCTTAGGCATTCAGTGTTGGTTGCAGGCCCCTTTCTCTTACTCTCATAGGCAGCTCCCCCTAGGCGTGCTCCCCTGCTTCAGCCACACGTGCTCACATGTGTCTCCCATGTTTACATTTCTAGCCCAGAGGTTACCTACAAACTCCAAACTTACATATCCTGTATTTCCAGCTGCCCAGGTGATAGTTCTGCTTGGATTTCCCAAAGGTTCCCTCAACTCCACATGTCCAAAATTGACCTCATGATCTTCTCAGTCCCAGCTTGGTCCTCTTCCAGTATTTCCTGTTTCCAGGAATGGAATTGCCAGTTATTCAGCTGAACTTCAGAGTAGCTCTCTCCTCCTTCCTTCCCCTCATCCATCCCCTTTTTCTCTGGCCCTCAGCCATGCTGATCTTTTAAAATTTAGGCTTCGTTCCCTTTCACCATAGGGCCGTTTTGTTGTTTATTTCTCTGCTTTGAATTCACTTTCTTCACATAGTTAATGCCTAATCATTCTTCAGCTTTCAGTTCTTTCATTTTTCTCTACAGAGCCTTCTCTAACCTTCTGGCCAGACTACCTCCCACCTTCCAGCACTGTCCATGTGCCTCTCCTTTCCAGCTGTTGCTGTTGGAGTGGTGCATTTGTTTGTCTGACTAGTGTCTGTCTGTTCTACTACAGCAGTCCCCAACCTTTTTGACACCAGGCACTGGTTTGTGGAGGGCAGTTTTTCCACAAATGGAGGTTGGGGAATGGTTTCAGGCTGAAACTGTTCCGCCTCAGATTATCAGGCATAGTTAGATTTTCATGAGTGCACAGCCTAGATCCCTTGTATGCACAGTTCGCGATAGGGTTTGCACTCCTGTGAGAATATAATAATACAGCTGATCTGACAGGAGGTGGAGCTCAGGCAGTAGTGCTCGCTCACTGCTCACCTCCTACTGTGTGGCCCACTTCCTAACAGGCCAAGGACCCGTATTGGTCTGTGGCCTGGAGTTTGGGGACCCCTGTTCTACTAGAATGAAGCTCCCTGAGGACAGAAGACCAGTCTGTTTTGCTCATCACTCTAGCCTTGACCACATAGTAAAGATTAATTGAGTGAATGAATGAAGCCCCACCCTGACTTCACTTCTTGGGTGGGTCCCATCTATTTGTGGGAGAGGGAACAGGACAGGAACTAATGTGATTCTGCCTGCTCCTAAAAGGAGACTGCATGGAAGGGACCAGGCATGGTGCTTCATGCCTGTAATCCCAGCACTTTGGGAGGCTGAGGCGGGTGGATCACCTTAGGTCAGGAGTTCGAGATCAGCCTGGCCAACGTGGTAAAACCCCATATCTACTAAAGAAAGCAAAAATTAGCCAGATGTGATGGCACGTGCCTGTAATCTCGGCTACTTGGGAGGCAGAAGCAGGAGAATCACTTGAACCCTGGAGGTGGAGTTCACAATAAGACGAGATCATGCTGCTGCACTCCAGACTGGGCGACAAGATTGAGTCTCTGTCTCAAAAAAGAAAAAAAAAAAGGATTACATGGAAGGAAGGAGGCTGGAAGGGCAGCTAGCATTTCCTGACTGCTTCCCCTGTGTCAGGATCTGCCCTACCCCATTTGCCCCATTTAATTCTCACATCAACCCCGTGAGGTGGTTATCCCTCTTTTACAGATGAAGCCTCCAGGGTCAGGGAGGTTGAGTAAAGCACAGGGAGGTCGTACAGCTGGAAAACACAGACTGAATTAAGCTTCACCTAACTCTAAACTCTCTTTACTACACCAGTGGTTTTTAAACAGTGTTTTAAGTGGTGGTTATCCCAATACTTTGGGAAGCCAAGATGGGAGGATCTCTTGAGGTCAGGAATTTGAGACTAGCCTCGACAACAAAGCAAGATCCTGTCTCTACCAAACAGACAAAAACCAAAAATGCTCACCCAAAACAATATTTTAAGCATTTTTTATTAAAGCCCAATATGTAAAAGATAGTGGCATGGCTAACATTCCCTCTGACACCAGGCATTGCCTCTAAAGCCCTAAGGCTCCAGGGAGAACAGTTTGAAAGCCCTGGATATTAGTTTTGTATTGTTTCTTTTTTTTTTTTTAATTTTTTATTGGATTTTAGGTTTTGGGGTACATTAGCAGAGCATGCAAGACAGTTGCGTAGGTACACACATGGCAGTGTGCTTTGCTTTCCTTCTCCCCTTCATCCACATTTGGCATTTCTCCCCAGGCTATCCCTCCCCACCTCCCCCTCCCACTGGCCCTCCCCTTTTCCCCCCAATAGACCCCAGTGTTCAGTACTCCCCTTTCTGTGTCCATGTGTTCTCATTTTTCATCACCCACCTATGAGTGAGAATATGCGGTGTTTCATTTTCTGTTCTTGTGTCAGTTTGCTGAGGATGATGTTCTCCAGATTCATCCATGTCCCTCTCCGCGGATTCAAGGAGAGCTCCAATCCTGGGTTGTTCTCACAGCGCCATCTTGAGTCCTCCCTCCAGTTTTGTATTGTTTCTATAACAAATTACCACAAACTTAGTGGCTTAAAAAAGCACAAATTTATTATCTTACAGTTCTGGAGGTCAGGAGTCCAAAATGGATCTCACTGGGTGAAAAGCTGTTGGCAGGCCTGAATTCCTTTCTAGGGGCTCAAGGAGAGAATTTGGTCTTTGCCTCTTCTAGCTTCTGCAGGCCTCTTGCATTCCTTGGCTTGTGGCCCCTTCTTCCAGCTTCAAAAGCAGCAGTGGCTTGTCAAGTCTTTCTCATATCACATCACTCTGACGCTGACTCTCTTGCCTTCTTTTTCCATGTTTAAAGGGCCTTTGTGATTACATTGGGTCCACCCAGATAACCCAGGAAAATCTCTGTAAAGTCAGTTGATTAACAACATTAGTCTCATGCTGCCCTAATACTACCCTTTTCCATGCAACTTGACATATTTATAGGCTGTAAGGATTAACACTTGGACATCTTTGGGAGCCTTTATTTTGCCTCCCACACCTTGCACTACCCTCTTGCCCCCAACCAGAGAGCATAGATGGAGGCAGGAGGAAGAAGAGGAAGGAGGCCAGACTTGAAGTGATGAGGCTTGCCTTTGTGTTTCCTTTCATAGAGAAGTGTCCAGGTAAATTAGTAGGTGGCCCTAATGACCTTGGACCTTAGCAGCCTTTCTTTTGCCTCAGATTCCTGGAGCTGCAAAGCTTGAGATCGATCAGAATAGGAAGCCAGGTCTTAGGCAGAGCAAATTTTGGGTAGTTCATCAACTGGCAGAAGCCTTCCCAGTTGCTTTGGGGGAACCAGATGAGCTGGGCTCACTTTCTAAACCACAGAAGATTCAGCTCTCAGTCCATTTGGCTGTCCTAATAGTGAGTTCGCTCTAATTTGGTGGACTGACACAACTCTCAGAGCTCATTTCCTGCCTCTGAGTGTTTTGTTTTGTTTTTTTCTTTTAAGACTGAGTCTTGCTGTGTCACCCAGGCTACAGTGCAGTGTCACAATCTCAGCTTGCTGCAGTCACCACCTCCTGAGTTCAAGCAATCCTCATGCCTCAGCCCTTGGAGTAGCTGAGATTACAGGCATTTGGATTCACTCTTGGCTAATTTTCGTATTTTTAGTAGAAATGGAGTTTCACCATGTTGGCCAGGCTGGTGTCGAACTCCTGACCTCAAGTGATCTGCCTGCCTCAGCCTTCCAAAGTCCTAGGATTATAGATGTGAGCCACTGCACTCGGCCCCTTTGAGTAGTCTAATAGTAATCAAAATAATGGTAATGATGATAATAGTTGCCATTTTGGGGCTGCTTTCATGTACTAGGACTTTGTAGGGCTCTTTTTTTTTTTTTTTTTGACACGGAGTTTCGCTGTTGTTACCCAGACTAGAGTGCAATGGCGTGATCTCGGCTCACCACAACCTCTACCTCCTGGGTTCAAGCAGTTCTCCTGCCTCAGCCTCCCGAGTAGCTGAGACTACAGGTGCGCACCACCATGCCCAGCTAATTTTTGTATTTTTAGTAGAGACGGGGTTTCACCTTGTTGACCAGGATGGTCTCGATCTCTTGACCTCGTGATCCACCTGCCTTGGCCTCCCAAAGTGTTGGGATTATAGGTGTGAGTCACCGCACCATGCCCGGCCTTCTTTTTTTTTTTTTTAAAAGATGGGGCCTTGCTTTGTGGACCAGGCTACAGTGCAGTAGTGTGATCGTGGCTCACTTCAGCCTCCCGAGGAGTTGGGACTACAGGCGTGCACCACCATACCCGGCAAATTGTTAAATTTTTTTAAGAGACAAGGTTATGCAGTGTTGCCCAGGCTGGTCTCAAACTCCTGAGCTCAAGCCTGCCTTGACCTCCCAAAGTGCTGAGAGAACTTGGTCTCTTACAGGTGTGAGCCACTGCTCCCACCCTATAGGGCTTTTTTTTCTTTGGAGAGTTTCGCTCTTGTCGCTCACTGCAACCCCTGCCTTCTGGGTTCAAGTGATTCTCCTGCCTCAGC